CGTATAATTTAATATTTTAATATATTTAAATATATTTAATTTTTAATGTTTAAACAATATTTAGTGAACATTTACTTAAGAATTTTTCTTTGCTTCTTTTTGATTTTAATATACTGAACCAAAATCGTTATTTTCTTAAAATAATTATATTTTAAAAATTAATTAACCTAGATAAAATTTGAATGAAAATTAAATAAAATTATTAATGAAACAATATATTATATCCTTTTTACGAATGTACCGTGTACAAGAATGAGAAAAATCAAACCGCACGAGATTATTCTCATTACGTCGAGATTTCTCGCCATGGAAGAACGAAAAGGAACGACGATCGAAGGGAAGAACTATCAATTTGTCGGCGAATAGAAAGTAGAATAGTGTATGTCGAACGAGTTGGACGAATTTTCGATTTACCGAACCGCGACGGATCCGAATTCCAATTGACATGGTTATTGATCGAACAGGAAAAGGACAAAGCGAAGTTTAAGACAATCAGCGAGAAATTCTGATCTAATTCAGGCGGAAATGTTATCGCTGTTAAGAGAGAACGTTTTGGTGATTATAGATATAGGATAATTATGACACAGATGGCGCAAATAGTGCAGGAAATTGTTACTAGGCTTAAATTTTGGGCGTAAAAAATTTTTTTATGAATAAGTGTGGAAAATTTTGAGATATTAAGTAGAATTGTTATAAATTATACTTAAATTTTAAAACGATGAAAATTTTTTTGTATGAAATAACAAGTAGTTATTACTGTCTAGATAAAAAATTTTTTCATGGAAAAATAAATGTTGGAAATATTGAGATGTTGAATGAATTAGAATTGTCACTGTGTGTTTAAAATTTGTAATGAGAAATTTTTTTTATGCATGAATGTTAAAAGTATTCATATTTACTGTGGTACACTAAATTAAATTTTGTACTGAAAATTTTTTCTGTACATAAAAATTAAAAGTATAAAAATGTTAAATACAATTAGGTTCAAATTATGCTTAAATTTTGCAATAAAAATTTTTCTCAAGCTTGAATATTATAAATAGAATATTTTATTATAACTATATATGTCATCTTTAGAAAATTAAAATTGTAAATAACATTTTTAAAAAAAAATTCTCACTTCTGAAAATGATATTATATTTTTAATTTTTCATTTAAACTTGATTTTCACTTTTCATTTAAAAAATTAATAAAAATAAAATAAAATGAAAAATATTTTTATCTTAGAAGATTCACGTTATCTATTGAAAAACATTTTTTCTTTTTTTGCATTTTTAATATTAAAGAAAATAACATATTCAAATTAAAAATATACCATAAATTCTCTTTAACAAAAATAATTCTATTGCAAATAACGAATTTTTGATTATTATGGTAGTTTAAATAAATATAAAGTACAGTAAATATTTTATAATCGCAAAACAATCATATAATTGCAAAAGATTCATCATTTGCTCCACTACTATCTTCGTTGAAACGGAGTTTAATGTATAAACAAGGTAATTTGATCTGATATCAAATATCATGATATCTGTAAGAAAATATTAATGCAACGATAGAAGAATTTATTTATTTTAATTTTTTTAATGAAATTTTGTATTTGCGAGGTTTCTCTGAGTAAATTGAAACCAAACACGATATAATTTCCTCAAATTTTCATATTTAATTTTCAATCATGACTTTTTTTCCTTGTCTATTAAATAAATAATTATAATTCCAATTATATCGTGTATCTGGTTTCATTTTAAAAACTTTAACTATAAATACGTTGATTGAAATTGAGAGAAAAAAGTATTTAAAAATTTAAAAATTTTACCATTGCATTTTTATACTTTCTCTCTTTCTCTCTTTCAATACGTTTAGCAAAAAACGTAAACAAACCTCCAACCTCCGGCCAAGCAATAGAAGAATCAATATCTCTGTTGGATAACTGCAAAAGCTTTAATTTCGTATTTCCTGCAATTATAAAATATTTACTATACAAGTATTGAAATCGAGTACGATCGATCTTTGAAAAAATAGATAAAATTTTTAAAACCAATGAACAAATATCCTATTTAGTAAGCATAAGCAAATGAACAGTCCAAAACAAATGAAATCAGCAGAGCTTTATTTTATCACTGAAATATCGAAAATATATCTTCTCTCACAATTAGCCTGATAAAATAAAATTATTTTATATTCCCACATATATATATATATATATATATATACAAAAATCATTGCAGAAATTTATTGTACAATGGCTGTAAAAAGTATCTTCTCGTTATTGTATTTAGCATTTTTGTATACAAATTACAATAGTGCCAAGTATTATAAAACAGATAAAAATTAGAATAATATAAAAATGAGATATAGAAAATTACGAAAAAGCATTTCGTTGAAGAATAAGGATATACGTAAATACTTTTTTCACT